CCACTGCTTACCACCTGCCACCTCTGCCAATTTTTGCTCATCATCATTGCAAAAAAATCCTCAACCCCCTTTTTCCTGAATTCTAGTTTACACTCATATAATCTGCTTTCATTTCTTTACTAGGGCCTATTCTCCCAAATGTGTGCAAAACCTTCTTATCGGGGTTGTCCATCCTGCCTGCTGGTACCACCTCTAGTGCTCACACCTGCCCTTCTTCCTGGTGCAGCAGATGCAGAACATTTGTTCCCACTTCACCTCCAAGTTATTGTAAGAGGCTAGCCTGACCCAGTCAGCTCTGATGATGATGTTTCTTTGTGCTAACCAGAACCCCAACCAGGAAACATCCATTCTTGCAGCAGTAGCAACTGAGGCACCCAGTTTTGCTGGAGCATCATACAAAGGATGAAGTGAGGGGTCACACTCCCCCCATCACCATGTACCAGAGTATGCTATTAGCCAATCACAGGGTCACAGGTACTGCCTTCTCCATATGCCACTCGGAGGCCCAGATTTGGAACATGGGCCACTACCTGCTAATCCCTCCTCCAGGATCATCAAGTACTGGTTAGAGCAGAGCTTGGACACAAGTCCATTTCCCAAAACAAGCTGCAGATCCAATTCCACAGCTGTTGCTACATCCTCATGTCTCCATACCTACACAGGTAGTGCAATGAACAGCAATTAGTCCTGCCTGGAAACAGCAGCAACCAGGACTCAATTTTACCCATGTCATGCCATAGTGAAGGCTGGAACTTACACGAAATATGCACCAATATTTTCAAACTTCTGTTTGTAACACTGCCTTCTTTGTTTGCACACTTTGGGCAAGAAAACACTTCAGATAAAGAAAAGTGCAAGAGAAACAATGAGCTAGAAAGGGGAAGATAAAAGAACCAGGAAAACCTTTTTATCCCAGATCCAGAAACTGGAATTCCTACTTGCACATATTTTTACTTTATTATATTGTATGTTTAAAGGGAGTGGAAGGTAAGGAGAAAAGTGAGGAAGGGTAGCCATAGGGCACTGAAGACAATCCTAGCTTTCCATTTGTGTGTGTTACCTTTTAAATAATACAGCATGTATATGCGGAAATATTATATACGAAGCAATATTTTTTCTGCAACGTGAGCACCGATAGAAGCAGGATGACCAACAGCTCACGAGGGTGATTGCCAACTAAGAGGGATAAAATGCTTCCCTCAGCTAGAATGGTGAGGACCTAAAATAGAATTCAACTTCCAGTAAAACAGTAACAACTGTAAGAACATTCAGCTTCATTTTAACTGTCCCATTAGGTTTAAAAATAAATTCTAAACAAATAAAGAGAGCCTTTTCCTTCCTCTTCAGCACTGGGCACAAGGGTCAGCACTTTTGTCTAAAGATGCCCAAAGGACAAGATGAAAAGAATGAAGCCACACATACACCCCATGGGCTTGTGCCACGTTCAAGGGACCTACTCTGCTTCCTCCAGTCTAAAGATACGCTTAGGCATTCTGCTGACGACAGCACTGCTTTTCAAAATGCGAAACGAGTATTCAGGTGGCGAGTCTCAGATCCTCCATGGAGATGTGGCACGAAACATCTCCCAATTATTTATTGCATTTTCAAAGGTTTATAATTATTATTTTCTAACTGGGAGGCTGGCTCTCCACAAAGTAAAAGTCTACCTTTCAGCACCAAAAGACTGTGTTTGTGTTTTGTAGTTCAGACCCGATCTCTGCCTTGTAAGCAGGTTCTTGGGCACCCAGATTTCTTTTACTCTCATCTGCTTACCTTCTAGAAAAATGCATGCTTTGTGACTGACCATGCTCGCTAAGGCAGCCATTTTATAAATGGGCAAGTGCCCCTGATCCCAGAAGTACCCATACCTGCTTAAATAAGGTGCTGAAATAAGGTGTCAGGTAAAGCATGAAGATTTCTAGCCCTAGCAAGATGAGTAAGGGGAAATACTGCCCAGGGATACCCTTGAGCTCTTATAACAGTTGTCGCTACATCAGCCAATCTCTCAAAATAGGAAGAAAGGCTTAAAAAAAAAACAAAAACTGGTTGCACGGAAGAGATACTGTAGATGGAAGCCTGAAGCCACTGCTTTTAGGAATCAATGCACTAAATGTGCTGAGATTACAATGGGGTGGAATACAGAGACGTTGAGTATTTCTAGTGTGTGCTGCTAACTACAGGGATTTAAGAGATGTATTTATTTTTGTTTCAAACTCCTAGAATGGCATATATACAAACAATAAAAGCAAGTTGCCAGTTCTTCAATTTAAAGTAAGTTTTATGGCAATCAACAAGAAATAATTCAGGAAGAGAAACTGGTCCATCAGTAGGGCCGAAAGAATGGCCCTGCTTCTCACTGTTATCTTTAGAGTTTTTATAACAATTTCAAGAACAAGCAGGGTGAAGTTCTTTATTTTCTTTGAAAAATGTTTTAGAACTGTTATGTGCTGTAACAATTAACTCCAAGTTGCAAAAGGCCCTTTCTCCTTGGCACACATTTCAAATAAGTCGACTGCTGTTCTTGGAAAGGATCGTGTGACAATAAACATAAGAAGTGTAAGGTCTGCTTAACTGGCACCTCAGCATCAAGGAAGGCTCATGCTTTGCTAATCAGAAAAGCAGCGTTGCTCTCAAAGCAACATTAGTGACTCCAGCGAGTTCTGCTGTAACCCTCTGCCACAAGGGACAGATGAGCAAAAGGCCGTGCCTTTGAATATGGCCCACCCAAAGAAAACCCAAGCAACCTGAACCTAGTGCATGCTGTACCTTTTGACACACTTGCAGTGACAGAGCAACAGGAGGCTGTGCCATGGGGCAATTCCCTCCAGACAGGCAAGAGTAAAATGCAGACACTTGCCAGATGGACTGAATTAAGAGAGATGCTCTAAGGCAGCTGTCCAAATGCACTGGCCCTTAAGGCATGAAACAGCAGACACACCTTCTCAATCGGAAACACATACAGGTGGAATTAAGGAGTGCAGGACTGAAGCCAAAGTTTCAACAGTGTAATTCAAATCAATATGCAGGCTTCAGGCTTCCCTCCACTTGTGCAGCTCCTGGATATGCGCACCTCTTCTCGGTCTGCATGTTTGCTTTCTCCTCTCAGGTTCCTTCTTCTGGCCCTCACACCTCTCTGGACCATGCTCCTTTCCAGTCTTTCCCCCTTGCTTGTGTGCCTTCCCTGGCCTGTTGCCTTCTCAACTGCCTTCCTTCTTTCCAAGATCTTCCAACCCCACCTAGGTCCTTCTTCCTGCCCTGCCACTCCATGATGCCAGCATAGCACCCAGAGGCCTCATCACCATCAGAAAATCCCTTTGGGGTTCACGTTAGATTAGTATGGAGAACCTCCTGTGGAACTTATTACCGTTGCCATTTTCAGTTAAAATGTGATTGACAGCTTTGAAGTTAGGACATTTGAGACCCGTTCTGTTGACCTGTGGCTTTATCTCAAGGCTTCTATCAAAATGATATCTGGGAGACAGATCCTGAAGGAGCACCTCTTCCCTAACATGCCCTCACGCCCCTTAAGATCTGCGGGAGAGGCTCTGCTCCGGGAGCCCTCTTTAAAGGAGATAAAAAGAACAACTACCCGGAGCAGGGCCTTCTCTGTGGTGGCGCCCAGGTTATGGAATGCACTCCCTGGAGAGGTGCGCCTGACACGAAGCTTATATTCTTTTTAACGCCAGGTTAAAACCTTTTTATTTAATTGTTATTTTACAAATTAATATTTTTATCATTAAGTCACTTTTTTGTGTTTTGTTTGTTTTTACATAATTTTATGAAATTTGTATTGTTTTATTGTTTTTAATTGTACATTTGTGAGCTGTCCCGAAATGCCGAGGCATGTGGTGACGGCATATAAAAGTTCTAAATAAATTAACCAACGTCAATGCAATCCCAGCCACAGATCTGTGTGCCGTGCGCCTCCATCAATGGCCATCTCCTGCTCCTTGTGGGACCAAGCAAAAGATGGTGGTCACCATTTGTTACTCATATCCTGCTCTTCCGCCATCAGACCCAGAGCACCATATGGGTGTATCTCTTAATCAAAACCATGCAGAAGGGATATTAAAACAAGAGGTGGTTGCACTTCCCAGGATTCTGAGTGGCACTCATACAATCCTCATACATGTAACACCTCCCCGCAAAAAAGATGTACTGAGCAAGTCTCCATTAGGCCTTGGCGCCAAAATGTTTTCCAAGTTGACTCCAATAGGAGCTCACGCAACTACCAAAACACAGACTCTCACTGTAAGCAAGATTGTACAGAAAGGCCAACCAACACATAGGAAACATTCCTCTAGAACAACTGAAAACTGCCCGAGAGTCCCCAGTCGACACAGGTCAAGAGACTATAACTGGAAGACAGAAGATTCCTGAATCACTCGTGGCTGAACCCAACAGCAAAGTGGGAGCACTTCCTTCAGGTCCCAAAACACCAGCCTTGTGAGGAGCTGTTCATCTGAGTGAAATAATTGCCTCGAGGCGATCAGAAAAGTCTTCTCTGTAAAGTAGGAATGAGTTTTGTCTGATCCTGTCGGCTGTCCAAATTACCATAAAGTGACTTGCACAGGTAAGCAAGCAAGTTGTGGACTTCTATGTGAAGCTGAGAAACACAGCTGCATTCTGTTCACCTTACATTGCCTGCATTTTTTAATAAATTCTCATTTAAATAAATAAATATCCCCCATTTTGTTTCATACCAAGAAACCATTCAGGTGGCAAATGAAGCGGCATGTGTGTTATTTACACCAATCAAACTCAATGGCAGGTTTTTGCCTTTCCTCATTCTTGCAAAGCATCTTTTTTTTGTTTTGTTTTGTTCCTGTAGCACATGTTCACACTTGGGCTGGAGGGTGTAACACCACAGATGTATAACAGACCTTCTGGCTGGCAATGCTAGCAAAATTTCAAAAGAAAAGAGAGACAGCATCTCCCACAACCATTACAAACCACACAGGCTGCATTCTATTGAATTAAAAACTGACACATCTGCTTACCACGTGTGTTGGTCGCCATGTCAGCCACTTTCTGAAAAGCATCCAAGAAGGCAGCTGCTGCTACTACCGTCGTCCTAAAATACAGACAGACAGTGTGATGTTAGAAATAGTTTGTCACAGTCTATTTGGGTCACTACACATCACAGGAAAATAAAAAAGGCAAAGGCTGTAAAGAGAAGCTAGTAGGAGCTTGTACAAAGAGCGAAAAGAATCTCTCCAGCCAGGGCCAGTGTCAGGATTGGCACGGCAGACGACCTGAAGGCTCTCCCTCCAACAAGGGGACCACAGACAGGAGTCCACTGGAGGTGTTCTTCCCCTTCACCACTGCAACTTGCTTGTCCGCCTGCCTCTTGCGGTGGGATCCAGGCAACACTGATGGTGAGACGAAAAGGCAGCAGATGCCCTCACCCATGGACTCACTGGCTTTCTGCCTTCCAAAGAAGTGCCTGCAATGATCCGAAAGGGAATGAGGAGCAAAAGCAGCTGCAGGTCGTGGTAGTGAGAAGGTGGGCTTGTGGATGAAGGAGGCCCTTTGAGGGTGCTTTGTCCAGGAGTTCTCACAAACCTGAAGCCACCGCTGCATGTGCTTCTCAGCTTCATTTCTACTCTACCCTCTCACCTTTTAGATGTTTCTGAACGCGGTAAGAAAGTAGTTTCAGCTGGGGCATTGGTGGTTTCGTACAACTGAAATACAAGCACCATCTCCAACACTAGAGCCAGTGTGGCATACTGGTCAGAGCGCTAGACTGGGACACATTCTTGTCTCTACTTGGCCATGGAGCTCAGTGGGTGATTCAGGGTCAGTCCATGCCTTGCAGTCTGACCTATCTTTGTAAGAGTAAAAATGGAGGAGCAGGATTACATTAAGCCTAGAGTTCCTTGCAGAAAAAGTGGGATATAAGTATAATGATTAATAAACTAATTTCCAACTCTGAGCCCCCAATGTTGTTGGACTGCAATTCCCATCAACCATTGGCTATGCTCACCACAGATAGTGGGAATTTGGTAAGACTACTTGAAAGGACAGACAGATAATTAAGGACAGACAATCCCTCCTCACACACATTTTCATTTTAAGGTATCCCTCCAAGATGTTTTCATAAGTAACACCTGAAAATGGAAAGTGCGGATGCAAAAAAGCCCTAAACGGCTTGGGACCAGGATACCTAAAGGAACGTCTTCTTCTCTGCTCACGACATGGCCCGGGAGACCCCTTCTGACTCGCTCTGTTTCTATGTTTCCCTATTTGCCCTCCCACCCCCTGAGATCGGCAGCAGAAGCCCTCCTCCAGGAACCCTCTGTGAAAGATATTAGGAGACAGAGTACCCAGAGGAGGGCCTTCTCTGCGGTGGTGCCCTGACTATGGAATGCGCTCCCCAGAGAGGTCTGCCTGGCGCCATCATTTTATGTTTTTCGGCGCCAAGTTAAGACCTTTTTATTTAATCAATATTTTAATAAGTTTTAATATTGAATTTTATTATTGTATTTTATTAATTGCAGCCAGAGTGGGTTGTCAATTTATTTATGTTATGTTAGATATTTGTACTTTATTTGTGTAAGCCGTCCTGAGGCTCTTGCAAAGGACGGCATACATATATCATAAATAATAAAAAGCAAGCCAATCATACCGGCACACTTGTTCGGGTGTTATGGTGGACTAAGGCTTCTGTAAAACTGCTAAATCCAAGTTTGCTACTCTGTAATCTGGGGTGCACGGCTTGGCAGAATATGAGCAGAAAAGCAGAAGAACATAATGCATGCCAAGCGACTGAGACGCGTGTTTTATAATTAATCTACACTGAATGTATTTTTAATACTTGCACAATAGCAATTTTTCAACATTTTAACAGTAGAAGGGTGAACTTAAAGGATGCTTGATGCCAGCTGGCTGGGAATTATGGAGTTGCAGCCCTACTCTTCTGGAAGCACCAGGCTGAGAAGGTTGCATTAGGGTTTCTTCTTGCTGCTGGCAGAAGCTTTAACGACACACAAAGCCCTCTGCAACACTTCCTAAATCTGACCCCGAAGTGAGTCGCTGGGCTGTCTCCTACACTTCCTTCTCAACAGTCTAGTGAGAGACCACAAGCAAGCCCTGGGACTTAACAGGAAGCAAACTGCTGTTCTTTCCATCCTTAAAAGCACAGATCCTGTTCGGAGTTCCCATCTGAAGTATGACTCCATCTCGTTCACAGACACAGAAGAGAGTCTGAAGGGAGACGCACATGTCCATATTTTATGCCAGAAGGGAAAGCCATGCTATTACAAGTGCAAAACGCAGACTTCAGGGATAAGGCTTGTAAGTCACGGAATTATTGTGAGGATAGCGAAAATCGGGAGAAATGCATCAGAAATTCTAAGTAATGAGGGGGAAGGATAACGTTTTAACAAAACTCCTTCAGAAAGATCCTTGTATTTCTGCTTGAGGCAACTGGCCCCTTTTGCCTTCAAGTCTTTGGAGCTTGCACAACTGTATAATTTACCTGCATCTTGACTATATAATACAGGAGAGCAAAGGTGTCTAAACAGCAAAGGTACCTCCTTCTCACTGCAGACAAGTCAAAGGCACACAGGCGGCCCACAAAGGAACAGGGAATGGATCTGAGCTAGGAGGCCATGAAGCCACACACATCTCTGGCCAAGACAGATCAGTTCGCCCACAAAATGAGTAGACACTTATTAGAATACCTTCAGATACAACAGTAATTGGATGGTGGTGGTAGCTTTTTCCATGTAATCTAGAACATCCAAGGAAGCAGTCCTCACTCACTGTGGGACAAGCGAAACAGGTGAGCTGTGGAGTGGACACTAAGAGCATAGAAATGGAAGGCCGAGTGGTCTGGCCTAGGAATGCAAGCCCACAGGATATTCTGCTATGAAAGCCATGTGGAAATAGATAGGGGCCGCACAGATGATAGATGGACAGACAGATAGGTGCCCAAGGGTTGCGATGACCCTGTATCATTTCCATGGGGCTTGCACAGGAGACATTCCAGTGGATTGTGCTCATATTACTTACTAAAAGGTCACCATTTGGAGTTTCCAGTTAAGGTACCAGACTATCTTTGGGCAGCAAAAATCACTCAACATGCAGTCTGTCCTGTTTCCCGCCATGAGATGATGAATATGCAGTCTTGGGAGTCCACAGAGGAAGGGATGCAGCTTTGAATGTTCTAACCAGTGCCTTTTTTTGTCATAGAATGCACTGGAACAGAGTTCCAGCACCTTTTTTCAACAGATTTTCCAAGTTTTAAAAGTAACTTTTGGAAATTTGATGTTTGGTCCACACGGATTTGAATCGCCCTGTCGAGCGTAGCAGGTCGGTGGCAAAATCGTTAAAATGGTGCATGCGGGCTGCTTGTGTGTCGAATCCGATGCATGCGTACTTCACACTGGTTGTGCTGGTGCTGCTCGGCTTGTGATTGGTCCTGTGGTCGCACACTGAGTGCTTACTGCGGGCGGTGACCCCTTATGTTTCGTTACACAACTGACGTGTGTGGGTGTGTGTACAGTGATGGACTATGTGCGAAAGGTAAATAATTTCATGCGTTCCAGCACCTTTTCTCTTACAAAAAAAGCACTGGTTCTAACACAAGCATGGGAGAGGAAAACCCAGCTCAGAAGAACTCCCGTTTCCTTACAGTCTTATTAGGGGCCGCACCACCAAAGATCACATGACACCTACGCTCCCGGACTGTGCCACTTCAAGGGGAACGCAAGGGAACACTACTTTTGTCTGTTTCCTTCTCTTCAAAAGAATAAAATGCACTGCATATCCAGAACTAGCATCTCCAAGAAGATCAGGGAGATGTTCTCCTCAATGCCAAATATGTAAGGAGGCGGTTCGGGGTGTCTGCATTTGTGGGAGCACCGTCAAGCAGTCAGTATCCCACTGGGTATCTCAAGAGGTACAGTCTTGCTACGCTTCAATCAAAGAAGTCTGCGGTTCATCTGGTGTTGCTCTGAGCTGAAACCTTCGACAAGGAAATCAAAGTTCAACCAGACTTTCTACTCGGGATCCCAAAGGAAACATCTCAGGTAGCAAATGATAGCCCACTCGCTGCCACTCTGAAGCACAGATATCCTGGCAACAGGTCCCCAGATTCTCACCCTCCACAAGAAATAGAATGTAGATCCAGGGTTCCTAAATATAGCTAGCATTTCTTGACGAAGTAGGTCTTACAAACCCCATTCACCTTAGAAGCATATGCTAAAGTGTCTCCTTCTCTGGTTTAATTAATTGCATATTCAGATTTAGAGAGATCTGGGACATGACATTCGGGATAACCTAAAAACAAGGACACACAGCAAGAGAAGGAAAATAAACCAACACACTCCTAAAATTAAGATTTCTTCAAGACAGAGCTAAGCATCTGGATGGCCACTGCTAAGAGAAGCAGTCTCTCTGCCGTTTAAGACTCTCATTAGCAACTTGTCTCCATCATCACTGGTTTTGCTCAGGAAGGTGATTCAAGCAAAGGCCTGAGGAAGCAGGTCAAGATAACCAGCATATATTTCTTGCCCTTGTTTTACGTTGCACAGTAGAAATGACCTATTCTGCTCTATGCAAGAACTGGATAAATGAAAATGCCTTACAGACCTATACCTAGCTCTTACTGCAATCAGGCAATCCTTGGGGGATCATTTTAAGCAGGCGAATCCAGAGCCTTAGGCAAGGGAATGCTCCCAGCTGCAAGGTACATCAACACCCATTAGCAATCCTTAAAATGAGGGCTCTACCTACAGCATTTGCACAGAAACCTTCCCCTTCGCATTCTGCAGTTTTGCATTCACCACCTCTATGGCAAGTTCAGCACTATCCTAGGTACCTCCTAACCCTTCTTTTGTACTTTTGGGGGAAATCACTTCCCTAAACCAAAAGAAATAATTTCCAGTAAGGAATGCTAATTTTTCTTCTTCTACCTATGGCTGGTTTTGTTTCACCAGTTTTAATTCCACACTGCTGTGCTCTCAGTCTCGTCAGGGTCCCAAGGGAAAGCACAGCCCTGCTGGTACCCTCTCCCACCCCAAAGCCCTTCACCCCAAAGCCTCACTGTGTACAATGATTAAGGAACCAGTTAGGGCTTCACTGGCCCTCAGTTCTCCTGTCCATCACATATTCCCAGAAAAATAAACATAGGAGCATAGCAAGCTCCTTATCCTAGGGCAGGCTACAGATCCACCAAAGCTGGTGTAGTCAATGCTAACAGCAGCGGTTTTTCAGAATTTCAGACAGAATTTTTTCAGCCCTACCTGGAGATGCTGAAGGTTGAAAAATGGGAATTTCTGGAGGTCTTCTGTGGGCCAACTCAAGTGGGTGACTGGCAGATGTGTAGAATATAATCCCTTCCCAAAAGACACTGTTTCCCCTTCTGCTCGAGAGACTGCAGTCCAGTTTCCCTTGTCCCTGCTCTCTCATTGTCTTTCTAAGCCTCCTCATGCAAGGTAGGCACACGGCCTTAAGCAACACATTGTGTACATCCCCAATTTCCTTCCTCTTCCCCAGCTGGAATCCCCCTGTGTCCACCAGGTGTCTTCCGCAACCCCCTCTTCTCCTCTGGCACAAAGTTCCTCTCTCTTTCAGCCTTTCCGTTCCACACCACCACTTAGACTTAAATTAAAGACCTGCCAGGCCCATTTGCATGGCCATCATGTAAACTGTCTTACTTTTTGTAATTTTTGTAATTTTATTTTTTGCAATTACTCTAACCTCTGGCTCTTGTCTCATTGATCTATTTGTCCTTCAGAGGGGCCACTTTTAGATCTATTGATCTTCCCCTCCGAAGCACCCCAATTCTTGCCCATAGACATTGTGACCACAAGAGACCCTGTCAGATCATTCCCTGTGTGGATGTGTATATGAAATGCACAGACGAGGACACACAGTAACCTCAAGGAGGTGCTGGCATTTGTAGAGAGCAAAAAGCAGCAGAAGGCTGATTAATTCTTCTCCAGAAAATGTCACAGGGTAACAGTGGAAGGGTTAAATGTCACACGCTTCCCTGTTCTTTCTCCCCTGCAAGCAACCCCCGCTCTCAAAACCACTACTTTACAATGCAACAAACGCATGGATGGGAAATCCATATTTACCACCCAAAGCAAAGTTCATTCCTCAGACTATCCACACCCTTGGGTTCCCAAGCAGCCACAGAGAAAGGTTAAGAGGCATAGCGTTTTACAGGTCAGTTGAAGATTTTAAAATGCACATAAAATACCCCTTTTTGCAGCCACCCGAGAATCAAAACAATGGTTAGGAGGAGAGAAAATGGCTCACTGCAAGTGAGGGCTCAGAATGCCAAGGAAGTTGCTCTCCTGGGAAGGTTTTCATCCAGTGCTCACAGCACATTCACACAATTGAAACAGCAAGGGCATAAAAATTGGAGCGGGTACGTGAACTGCACGCACCTTGCAGTGCTTCTACTTCCTTCCACGTCTGATCGAGAATATAAAGACATAAGGAACAGAGAATGGGTAGTGCATTACAAGAGGAAGGAAAAATGCGGATGGAGTTATTGTGCTGAGCACAAGTTGGGGGCGGGTTGTTCTTGAACTGTAGGTTGCTGGCGAAACTGTGGGTTATCACGTTATCTGAATCCAACTATGCTAACAAACATATTTATTTACTTAGGATATTTGTATGTCATCCTTTGCAAGGATGGCTTACACAAATAAAGTACACATATCTAACATAAATAAATTAACAACCCACTCTGGCTGCAATTAAAATATGATAAAATTCAATATTAAAACTTATTAAAATACTGATTAAATTAAAAAGTTCTTAACCTGGCACCAAAAAACATAGCCACAAAAGCCATGGTTTGTTGTTCGGCTGAGAACAGTGGGTTGTTCACTTTGGTTTCTTATCTTGACTAGGTTTAAACAACATGTACCTGCCTATTTCCCCACAAATTTCCATTTTTAAAAAATAACTGCGGGGGGGGGGGACCCTTGTAGCTTTGAAGTTTCTAAAGATTTTACATATCTGGTTTCTGAAGAGATGACAATGAACAGATTTTTTAATTTAATGTTATAATTATTATTTTTTTTAACTTAACGTTGTAAGCCGCCCCGAGGCTTCGGCAAATGGGGCGGCATAAAAATGTTTTAATAAATAAACAAAAAAACAGATATCCAAATATCAGGAATGCTCTTACTGTGGCACAGGCATTCCAGGTACAATTATTTGCATCAGAATTCTAAAAAAGAACCACATACATAAAGGCCCAGTGGGATCTAACATGGGTTATTTGGAAACCATTGTCTGAAAATCAAGAGCCAACCCTGGAAACTCCAATAGGAATCTCCCCTTCTGCAGCTTTTGCTATTTATTTATTTATATTTATATTGTGATTTATATCCTGCCTTTTTCCTACAAAGGGCTCAAGGCAGCTTACATCATCTCTCCTCCTCCATCTTACCCCACAACAACAACCCTGTGAGGTAGGTTGGGCTGAGAGTCTGTGACTGGCCAAAGTCACCCAGTTGGCTCCATGGCCGAGCGGGGACTCGAACCCGGATCGCCTGAGTCCCAGTCCCATGCTCTTAACCACTACGCCACACTGGCTCTCCTTGGTTTACAATTCTATGTGCACAATGCTATTGTCAATGAAACTTTTCATTAATAGGTTTGGTTTAATTGTACGTAAAGTTTCCTAATCCGGGGTAGGGAACATGTGGCCTGCATATGTTCCACCCCACCATTTCTGCAGATCCTACCCCCGCTACACACAATTATGACATCTGCAGCTAAAATTGTGCTTTTATAATGCACTGAAATAATTATTTTTAATGGCTCTTCTTTTAATCTGCCTGCAGTACTAGTATTTTAAACAATTCCCTATTAAGAAAGCTTCACACATATCATCCTATGAATAACTAAACTTCATTAATTTGCAGAAGCCTTCCAAAGCACAATCATGGTTGCAAGTAAGGCATGTGAATGGTCCATGTACCTTGTTTCAATACAATTTTGGCTGCTACCGCAGGAAAATCAATTCAAACAAGTTGGTGTGTACTCCAGTACATTTGGGGAAACAATGCAGCTCCCCACCTGCAGAAATTGCCATTCCTGTTCTAACAAATTTCAACCCATAGTTTCAAGTTGAGGTTTACAGGCAAACCATGGTTAATATCACTGTACACATCACAGTTACAACCAGCAAGAGAATAAAAGAGCCAGAAAGAATTCACTGTACAAAAGAGAGAACAACATGCCACATCATTGAAATGTAAACCACGTATTCGGGAGACAGGAATACATCAATTCTAAGACAAAATTTATTCCAATTTTTACATAATATACCACGTAAGCAGTAGATTAAAGGAGGATCACCATTATATCCATATAGAAAACTGGGCAGAAAAAAAGAGAAAGACCAAAGATGGCATCAGAAAAGCTTACCTAAGTTGTGACTGCAGTTTCCCCGCTTTGTTGATGAAGTCTTCCCAAACTGGATAGCTTCCCTGGGAGAGAGAGAGAGAAACATACAAAAAATTAATTATCTTAATGTGATCATCCTCCTTCTGAGATTTTCTCTGAAAGCCAACTGGGAGAAGACAGCGTACATGTACTCAAGCCAGTTCCATCTATTTATTGAAAAAGTTTATATCCTGCCTTTACTAAAAAGTTCAAGACACTTAACAAAGACAACATTCAGATCCCATAAAACCACTGACCATTGTGAAAAACTTTGTCTCCCCATTTCCGCTTGTCTCTTGACAGCCAAGACGGGAAGGTCTTTCAGGCAAGGAATGTATTCTATGCTTCCTCAACCCCTTTGGGAAGCAAAGGCAGGTAAAAAAAAGCACTATCTGCGTGCGGGGGGGGGGGGGTCCTACCAAACAGCTACACACTAGCTCTGATGCATTTCTCATAATTGCAGGAAGGGAGTAGAGGAAACAAAATTGGGAATGTGAGGTCAACTGAGAAGAGGGTGGAAAACCCCTGCTTTAAGTCTATACAGAATTTCAGATTGCACAAACCATTTCATCAGCAAAAATTCTCAACTATACAAAGAACAGTTACATATTAATTCATTACGTTTTTACTCATGGAATGTTTATAATCTCTTTAGGCAAACACAGCAATGCAGGGATGAAAGATTATAGCTTAATGTTTAGACCAGCCTTCCCCAGTCTGGTACCTTCCAAATGTTTGGACATCCAACTTCCATCAGCCCCAGTCAGCATAGCCAGTAGTCAAGAACGCTAGAGAGCTCCAAGTTCAGGAGAGTCATCCAGACACAAATGGCAACTCACAGGTTAAATAGCCCATGATTTGCAGCCAGATGTTATGCCCATTTTCTATAAATTTTGAACCCATGAAAAAAGGGATTTTCTTTTACTTAGAAGCATGTGTAAATTAGAAATGCTGGGGATATCAAGAACTACATGTAATACTTTTTAATCAACCTTAAATCTTGTTTTACTGCTTTAATGTGAAATACAGTGTTTCTAACTTAGTTGGCAGTATTGGGCATATATATGTGAGATTTAAATATATATGCGGTTACTCAGAAGATCCAGTCTGTTTAGATGAACTTACTCCCAGGAATATGCAACTAAGATTACAGCCTCAAAAGTATAAACGGCAGTTCTGAACAAGCAAAACAGAATAAACTCATACTAAAGCGAGACAGTGAGCTGCAAGCCAATGTATCCTGCACTAAATGCAAACATATTTTTCAAATTTCCAAGAAGTCAAGGACTAAGCAGCTCCAATTTTTTAGGAAACAAAATAAGCTGCATGATTTTGATAGAAAATAATCTCAGAGGCTCAGTATTAAACATTACAAATGAACTGGATATCTAGTTTTATTTATATTCTGCCTTTCTTCCTATAAGGAACTCCAGGTGGCTCATATATATTATATCCTCACAACCATCCTGTGAGGTAGGTAGATAATACATCTTATATTATTATGTATAATGGCATTATTTTTGTGGACAAAATTGGTCACATTTAATGAAAAATAACCTGTAGATTGTCTTACATGAACATCTTATACTGCACATTTTGAATGCATAAACCCTGCAATTAAGAAGAATCTCATTCATTCCAGAACAGAGTGCCTGTGTGAGTGTGTGGGGGGGGGGGGGGGGGGGGCTTTTGCAGTGTTCCCTCACATTTCCTACTTTTCCCATGCCAAAATTGAACAGACTTTAAAAGACCTAAAATCCACCCCAACCACAGATTCCCCCTCCCCACATATATTTTCAAACAAATTCACAGCAAACTGGTTTCTGAGATAAATGCAGTAAGAACTAGTAATCTCCTGAACTTAGTCCACCCTGCTAATCCCTTGTCAGCTGACAGAGTTCCCATCCTTGTCTACAGCACCCAAACTTCAGGTCCAGCCTTCGCACATACCTTGACATTCCATAGTCTTAGTGATTTCCTCCTGCTATTCTCCAAACACAAACCCCAAACATGATTTATTGTGAGTGGTTCATTACATGGTTATGAGAAGGCTAGAAGGATTTGCTCTACTGACTTCTCATTTCCATCCAGCAAAGGATGATTTGAAAAGTAAAGTTCAACCCAACTCCTATCTTTTTGCAAAAATGTAGAATTGTTCTGGGACAATTTAACAGCTATTTGATCATGCCCAGAGAGTCACTGTCCAAGACACATTATCCAGGGAACTATTAAAAAGGCACTTTTTTGGTCAAGGATTAGATGCCTTTAGATAATCATGAAACCACTAGGGCCTCAGCAAGAGACATCTGAATGCTCAGCGCAATGAAGTACGTGAGTTTCAACCAACTCACCCTCACTCTCTATTGCTTAATAACCCAATAAAATATAGATTGCTTGCCTATCTGCTTCCTTTTAATTTCACATGGCTTTCAGTTGTTCCTTGTCCTGTAAGACCATGTCTAAATTCTACCTCTGTAATAGAAAAAATCATAAAAATAGTGAAGTTTTGTTTCCACAGTATTACCCATTATGGAATTATCCTAGCGGCATGACAATGCCCTCAATGAAGGGTCTACTACAAGCCACCTCAGATATCACACCCCAATTTCGCAAAAGTCCTATCCCAAGACTGGCCTTCTGGTTTTCTCCTGCCTTTAACATATACAGTAGACTCCCAACTATCCGGTCTGATGTGGCAGAAGGGCAGGCCAGGTAACAAAAAAGCCGGAGAGGCGGGAGTTCTATAAATGCTCACTTCCTATCCCACCCGTACCATTAAAAACACCCTTTTTATACCAAAACCTGCTCTTATTCATATTTTCTGACCTCTTAGTACAGGCCAGTACTTTATGTTTGTTATGTACTGTACTATACGTGTTAAAAATGTATTACAGAAAAAGGAAATCCAAGGATAAAAATATTGTACACATTTTAAGGTAAATGTTATAATGTCTAACTTAATTGCAGGAAACATAAAATCATGTACACTGTACAGTATGAATACATACACTTTTAAAATAAACAGAACATTAATGTAAAACATAGGCTTAATTCTTACAAAAATTATTTAAACTTACTTCACTGTTCATTGATAGTTATTTTTTAACTAGGCCGGATAGTACGGAGGCCAGATAGTCGCGAGCCGGATAGGCAAGAGTCTACTGCACAACTTTTCAGCTATACAAGCAGACATAAAATTAAATTTTTACCAAGGTGAATGGCTACCTTTTGTGATGGACACTGGACAGCATGCCCACCATTTGCAAGTTGCAACATCAGAGCATTTCTATGTATTTCTGTAGAAGCAAATTTGACATTGTGCTCCTTTGAAGTAGATGTCTTTGGGCCAGGGGCTGTTCTATTCCTCCCCCTGGCCAAAGACACCCAGTGGGGCAAAGTAATGAAGTACAGGCACATTCAAAGCCTATCCCTGCACACTACACGACATCTTCACGCACATGCAGAGTCAGCAAGCAAATGTCCACCAGAACATTCTCCCGACTCTGTACCCTCCAACTCTGGCAAGCAGCCTAGAGAGGAAAGTTCAAATCTGTTAACATCCACCTAACCATGTTTATCTGCATCCAAACTTCCAGCAACCCATGGGGTGCAGTCATCTGAGCACACGAATCAAGACCAGGGTTCTCCTGCACATCAAGATCCAACACAACTTTCGAGACTCTTTGCACAATTTGAAAACACCACAAGGGTGTACCACAAAAGATGGAAAGCCTTGACCACTGCAGTGTCTCAGCATATGCGCTGCTGCAGAAGCTAACAAACTGAACCGGAGTGACATCTGTTGCATAAACGCTCCAGTCAATCAATAAGGGAAAAGGCCATTTGGCAGGCCAAAAGTACATGCCTGTAAAGCACACACACCACTGCGTTCCCCTGCTCAGTACGCAGAAAGATCCGCAACCCTGAGCAAGCCACCAGGATGCTTGCAACACATTTTCCTCTCTTTTTGTGAGGAGGGGGTTAGCCTTCCAATATGAAATTCAAATTTGCCTTTTCCAAAGTTAACCAAAGCAGAATACACATGGAAAACAAAGGCTGCAGGCAGGCAAGAAGTCACATCTTAAATTTACATTACTGAAGCTGCAGTTCTGTGCGTGTTTATTCAGGCGTCAGTCCTAAAAACACCGTGGGACTTGCTTCTGAGTCAACAAGCGTGGATGGCATTGAAAAAAACCCTAACTTTCAACACAAATATTTGGGTTCTTCCAAGAGGTTCTGCAGGGACAAGCTATCTTCCGAAATTCAAAACCCAACTGAAGTGGTTCAGGTCACCTCTAGCTGAACTTGATTGTGTTCAGTGGACAACTGGCATCATTTCAGCACTTTATTCTTTTTTCTTCCTTACCCACCTAATATAAAGAACAGTTGCAAAGGAAGCTATTAAAAACGTTAGGGTGATGAAAGCTACCTGAGGAAGGTCACAGCAAGGTCACAAAATGTGACCCACTGACCATGGAGAAATACTACCAAATACTCCATAAAGTCAAGAATGCCAATATATAGGTGTCTGTTCACCTTTTCTTCTTGAGGTTGCCACTTGTTAGTAAGCGATTTATGGGTTGCTTGCTCACTGACCTTACAGAAGCCCAGCCACACTTATCCTATTAAATACTCTGCTATAACGCCAGGCACCTCCATTGGGTGTGCACACAGTCACTGGTGGCAGAAGACACAGCCTATGACCATCATGCAGAGAAGCAACTTCCCTATGACCTTACCATCTGCTCCGTGAAGTCCCAAGAGGGTCTGGAACTTGGGTCTAGAAAAAAGGAGCTGGTGAAATAATGGGGGGAATCAGCTAAAGTAAGATATTTCTGTGAGAAAGATTTGGGCAGTGCAATCCTACTCCTCTACTCAGAATTAATCTTTGCTGTGTTCAATATAACTTACTCCCAGGTAAGGACTGCAGCCTGCCTCTGAATCTCAGTCACCAGGGAACAGCAGCCAAGGGCTACTAAGCTTGTGATCTTTCTATGGCTGACTATTACAGGTTTCACAGGATGGTAAACAAAACAGGCCTTTA